GAGCTGAACATCAGATGAGTCTAAAATTGAAAGGCAACAAATGCTGAAATTAGTCTCGTAAACCTACTTAGAAACAAAAGGTATTTTAATCGAAGGTATGAAGACCAAGATGGTGTGGCATTTTGTGTGGTCGTAGTCTCCTTTCGTTGTATATAAGTTGTTTGACCTTGTTTTTGCAACTCGGTCATATTGGTAGGAAGACTTAGAGGAACGCACCTAGTCCGGAGTCCAATATGACCGAGTTGTGAAAACAAGGTCAAACAACTTCTATACAAAAGATATTTTTATATATCTTAACCAAGGACCTATAATATTGCTATATTCGCCTTTTTACCACAAAACTTTCGCCCGACACCCATCATGACAACTTGAATTTTCCGTTGAAGCCCTTTCTTTGTAAAATGTAAAGGTTAATGCGCCTAAGGCAAGATAATTTCCATTTGTTGGAGAAATTCACTTAGAATATATATGAAATAATATGAGCCTTTCATGATTCAGTACACTCTGGACAATTTAGTGGACATCTGATGAGCTCTATTTTGAGATGTAGAATATGCCAAATTTTTCATCGGATTTTTTTATAATGAATGTCTAACCTTAGACTCTGCAAAATAGCCAACTACGGTCCTTTAAGAGGCAAGAAGACATTTCAGCTTTTATCTGCTTGTTCTGTATTCAACCATTAGAGGAGATCAAGAGATCTTCATTTCAAGAATTATCCCCACTATTTGATGGGCCCTGACTTGGCCCATACTCTTTTGCCTAAAGATGGAGTGGTCAGCTCGGTCTTGAGGGGCAAAAAAGCAGCGACGGAAAGACACGGAAAAGCGGATGTTTTTCGGCTGTCAGAGGTGCGTCTACTCTCCGCATGCGACGCAGAAAGGTAAGCAACCGAAGGATCCCACATCCTCTAACGCGACACAATTGATTTGGTTTGGTTGATCCGATGCCTTGAAGATGGGGCCGCATTGTCCTGGCTCTGGTAATAATCCTCAACTCTTTCGAAGTGTCCTGATGAGAAGAGGTCAGCTCTTCATTCGGGGACTATCCGAAGTTTTAGATATGGTCAGATCTCGTTTTTGCAATTTGGTCACGTCGTCATGGTGGCTTAGTTGGGCTCACTTTGTCCGTGGACCTGGTACCTTTCCACGGTCCGACGCTGGGAATTATGATAACCACTATAGCAGAGGACTACGGACAAGGTGCGTCCAACTAAGCCACCCTGACAACGCGACCAAGTTGCGAAAACGAAGTCAGACCACTTCTGTACATTGAAAGGACACTGCGATCAAGATAGAAGCCATAACCTCTTTGTCTTCTTATCTACATCATTGCGAAGTTTTGCTCGATGAAAATCAGGCAGACCAACATCCAATAGCTATCCGTGAGCACATGACTGCTTGAGCAGAGAATCAATGATCGCAGAAGTGAGCGACCAAACGGAGAAGAAGTAAATAAGCACAGACGAGTAGCGAGTGGCAGACTCAATATGCCCGGCTAGGCAGGGTCTCAAGAATGCTTTGTCCGAAGACTGTTGACGCCGCCATAACCTAAAGGACCTCTAAAGGTTGTTTCATTTAATTCTTCTGTCCCTAATGCCTTCATGCGTTCCGGTCTGTCCGTCGCTTGGCTACATTCTCTGAAGGCCTTTGAAGGCGCCTTTGCCTGCATGCGCGCGGTTTTTCACACAAGACACTTTGATGACGAAATCTTAAAAGTGTTTTCAACAACCCTTAGTCGGTGCTCCCACCCATCCATCTGATAGATGGTGTTGTCCCTTTTGATTCAGTCCAAGGAAGCGGTTGTCCAGACTCAAAGCAAACATTGGTAGTGCAACAGCCTCCGCCTTAGAGCGTATGAAAATCGGTCAAGTTTCCTGGCTTCCCTAAAGGGGCAAAACGTTGTCTCCTCCGAAAATTTGAGTTGTCGCCACATTAATACAATTGAACTTGAGTACACGCGTGGAAGGGTGTGTATGAGCTTTGACTCAAACATTCAAGAATAACACGTTAACTCCGCATGCATACACACATGTATATGTATCCACTTCAGGTCAAGACAGATCTTACCTGTGGTCCGACAGCATTCTCCATGCCATGCTTCAGACTACGCACCGACGAACACACACCAACTTCACCGATATCGGGAGTTTTGCGTCCGCCGGCCCTTCGCCCTGTGAGGTGGTGGAGGCAGCGTCAACTAGTCGTGCCGGTGAGCAAGGGCCGTGGTTGCGTTTGGACAAAAGAGGAGTGCTAACAGGAATAAAGAAACCCGGGCGTACTTTGTTTCTTTCAACTTTGGGTATCTGATCAAAAGGAAGAACAGTTCAAAGACGAAGACTGGGTTATTTATTGATAATCACGTAGGA